CAAACACCCAGTACAATGGTACAAATGCCGGAGAGACAGCAGAGAGGAGAAGGCAGGGGGGTCCCCTTTGAGCTATGTTACATGCAGATTCGTTCTACCCACGCAGGGCCAGCAGCCATACATCAACATGCCCACGATCCGCAGAGCGAAACCGGCTGCGCCATAGGACAGCATCGTCGCGGCAGGCTTTCAAGGTGGCGGCCGCGCTCTTGGGCTTTTACTCTAGCCTCCTGGGCCGTGCGACTACGCCCGTCTGGCGTTTCGATGTGGCGGGCCTCCTCGCTGCAGCCCCCCGCGTCCACGGGCCCTCGCTTGTGGCGCCTTTCTTCGCCGACGAAATCAAGCGTGCTGCGCTGTGCCTTGACTGCTCGAGCGCCCCGGGGCCCGACGGGCTAGGCCCGACATTCTACCATGCCGCTTGGGGCGTGGTCGGGCGCGACATCGAGCGCCTGTTCGCCGCCGTCTACGACGGGTCTGCTCGCCTCGACGGGATCAACAGGGCGTTTATCGCCCTGCTACCGAAGAGCGAGGGGGTGCCAACGCCGGGCGGCTTCCGCCCCGTCTCCCTGCAAAACGCCGACATCAAAATCTTATGCCGCGGGCTCACCACCAGGCTGCAAACGCAGATCGGGGTGCTGATCGACGAGGACCAGTCCGGGTTCATCCCGGGGCGGAGCATTGCCGAAAATTTTGTCTACGCGGCAGAGATGGTGCAATGCTGCTACAAGCGCGCTGCCCCAACCATCGTCTTCAAGTTGGACTTCTCCAAAGCCTTCGACTGCATCAACTGGGAGAGTCTGCATGTGATTGCGCTGGCTCGGGGTTTCCCTGAGCTTTGGTGCGATTGGATGGATTCGATCCTGCGATCCTCGCGCTCTGCGGTCCTGCTCAACGGCGTCCCGGGGAAGTGGTTCCCCCTCCGCTGCAGGCTGCGGCAGGGGGATCCCATCTCCCCATACCTCTTCCTCCTCGTCGCTGACGTGCTCCAGAGGCTGGTCCGTCATGACTGTCTGCTTCGTCATCCGCTGCTGGAGGGGGAGCCTCCGCTTGTGCTGCAGTACGCGGACGACACGCTCATCATCATGCGCGCGTGTCCGTCCGCGGCGGCCCGGCTGCGCTCCATCCTCGACGACTTCGCTGCGGGTACTGGCCTCGTCATCATCTATCACAAAATGTCATCACTAATGCACACACTTACACCTGCCAAAAAAAAACTGTTACCCGAAAAAAAAATATGCATGCAGCCACAGGTACTTCACACTACGCGCCCGCTGCCATGGATCTCACACATAACCAATGAATACAACGAAGAGAGAAAGCGGTAAATATGTATATGGTCCAAAGAGCACCACACGCACCCGCAAGAAAAAACAAACAAAGAGTACCACACAATACAAGCCCAGATTGTTCATGAGAACGACAAGATCGATATGGTTAATTTATTGGGCCCGCGCGCATGCACGCACACACAGACGGACCAGCAGGCAGCACCAGCAGGCAGCAGCGGGTTTGATCGGCCGGCGGCGACGAGCTAGTAGCGGCGGCGGCGGTTGGCCGGCTCCTTCTGCGCGTTGAAGTACATGGCGGCGACGGGGAGCCCCAGGTCATGGCGCTCTGCGAAGGCACGGGTGCTGAACCGCGCGCGCATGGCCGACGCTGCTGTGTCGCCGCCGGGAGCCGGCGCCAGCACACGCGCCTTCTGCTGGAACAGCACCAGCACGTAGCGGTGGATGCCCAACGGCGGCTTCGGACCCATGTAGGGCACCACCTCCTCCCCTGCACGCATGGATCATCATCATAATTAAAACGTAATTAGCATCTATAGCTCGCCATTAGCAAACAAATAGATATCTTCACCACGTAGTACGTGCAGGAGTGTAGCTACACATAACGTAAGCATGGCGTTCCTTTAGGCTATTTTTCTTCTTCTTTTTTGCAGTTTAGCAAGCAAAAGGCGGAGTAAAACCGACCGATCTGCCGGCGGTTTGCTCTAGCAAAAGCGACCGATGCCATGCATGATCTGTCGTGTGTCCGTTGTGGCGAGGGTGACGGGGCTGCGCCGCTCAGGTCGACACGCGCCGTGGGCGGCACAGAGGGAGACGGGACGGCACGCCCGCTACGTGTCCACCGCATGGGGCCTGCAGCGTGGACACGTGTTCCGCGCCGCGGCAGGACAGGTATCGTGCGCCGGCTGGCACGTACCGCTGCGAAGCTGATCGTTTTGGGTGGATTTTCCTCTTTAGTTAAAGCTTGTTGTGGGATCAGAAAATACTGGACAATGGGCATCAGCAAAAAAAAGGAAGTACCGGGCACTCTAAAACATACGGTATATACCGCATGTAGTAATATTTTACCTTGAGAAGGATCTGATCCACCAGGTATGTTAACCACCAGCCTGTTCCGACAGAACATTGACCAGGAAAAACGTCAGAATTAATCAGCTAGCTCATACACGCATTAGTACAAGATTGTAAATGTAGATGCTCAGGCAGCACAATTACCAAAAATGGTACAAGTAAAAGAAGCAAATAAATAAATTAGTTAGTTACCAGTGAAGCCACTCCTTCATGGTTGGCTCGCTGGGGCTCGGTGCGTCCGGATCAGTCATAACCTGTAAATTAGAGCACGCCCAGTTTACAGTAGCTTCAACTGAATCAGAGCGCATATGCAAATACTAACCACGCATAAAGCACCATGGCATGCACACACACATGCAACACGCATATGAAAATACTGACCAGGGTGAAGAGATCGCCGGCCCGGCCGGCTATCTGGATCGAGGGCGCCGCGTCGGCGATGGACGGCTTGATCTCGCAGCCGTTCGTCAGGTCCTTCGTCCCGAAGCGCACGGTCACCGGCATGGTGGGCACGAACATGTCCACCACGTCACCGATCACCCTCCCAACCACAAGGGGATCCACATGGGCTGCCATAGCCGGAGGACGGCGATGAGGTCGAGCAGCAACAGCAAAACTAGCCAGCTAGCTAGCTGGATCTCCCGAGAGCACCTGCTTGTCTGTGTTGTATGAGCAGTGTTTGTATGGAGGAGAAGGTGTGAGGGGGTGAGAGAGTATTTATAGGTGGAGGGAGGTGGTGGAAACATGACATGGACATTTTGGTGGTGTTGCGATGATAAGCATGCGTGATGGTTAGTTGTCATTTCTCCCAAGTTAGAGGTTGTGTGTGATGTTGGTGTGTGAAGGCCCCTCTGACATATGCCAGTTCTGACTTTGGTCACTGACATGTGGGCCCGGCTTACTGACGTGGTCAATGTCAGTGATTAAAGTTAGAACCGATGGGTCCATAGGTTGGTGACTAAAATTAAAATTGACGTGTCGTACATGGTTTTAGTCTATTTTGCGTATTGATTATTCGTATGTGGGTGAGAAATACCGTGTGCGTCGTATATGACACCTAGTTTTGTGAGCATAAATAGTTGCTTGGCGTTGTGGTGTACAACTAACAGATACAGATGTTGGTGACTAAAGTGAAAATTGGCGTGTCGTAGATGATTTGGGTCTATTTGCGTGTTGGTTAACCGTAGCTTTGATTATATGGGCGTGGAATACCGCGTGCGTCGTATATGACCCCTAGTTTTGTGAGTGCAAGGACTTTTCTCTCAAGCCACTCTACTCCTTTATTTCTTTCTGATTCCGGCGTTACAATTTACCAATGTGAATGATTTTTTCTAGAACATCTGCTAAACTGTACTTATCAAATAAAAATGGAATAAAAGATAGAAACTGAAACAAGCAAACTGAAAGTTACACAACCTTCAAATTTCAAGCCTCATTATGAGTAGATTTTTGAGAAAGCGGGTCGCAAGGCTTTACAAACTCTTGATTCATTCATAGTATAGTGTGTGAAGGTTCTTAGGTGACTTCTAACCATCTAGGAGGCAAACAGCCTTCAGAAATACTCCCTCTGACCCATAATATAAGATGTTATTACATACAATATACTCATATATTGGATGTAATCACATTTCATATTATGGGACTGAGGGAGTAACAAGCAAAGCAAAGCCACACTCAAAAGATCTTCAATCAAAGTATTCTTAACAACCCAAATGATCTCTCTCTCTCCCCCCTCTCTCTCTCTCTCACACACACACACACGACCACACGCGCGTTCGCGGACGCGTGCACACACACACACACACACATAGATACGTCTCAAATGCTTCTACAATTGAATGATTCATACTATATTGTTATCAATTACACACTTTGGGAATTCTTTTTATCAATTTTTATTTGACTAACATATAAATATAGTGCACAATGCTAGTTCATGTATTTTGTTGTTTATGCAATTTCAGGAAAATCCACAGAAAAAGTCCAAGAGAAATGGAACAAAAACAATTCAGGAAGTTAAACATCAGAAGAGACCCAGGAGCCAAAGACCAGCACCGGAAGGGGGGAGGGCTCTTAGGTGCCTAGAAGCCTGGTTGAGATTTCCCTGGGCCCATGGTGTCTACAACGGGTGTCTACGGTGTGGGGGTACTCCCCGGGGGCTCCGGTGTCCGATGGTGCTTATGTAACCCATTTACGTACCCTAATTATCTAGTTTTTCGTCATCGACACATCGCGTTTCGAAGGCAATCTTTGTTTTCAGCCCTCACCCAGAACTCTATCGAAGGGGGAAGCCATCTTCATCATCACGAAACCTTGATCCTCATGCTCCAAGATGAGTTGTGAGTAGTCCACCCCCTGAACTACGGGTTCATGGGACTAGCCTTGTAATCTCTTCATCTTGATGTGTTTAGATGTTCAATACAATAGTCATATGAGCTGCCTTACATGATTATGGTTTATCAAAAATATTTGTAGCGGTAATGTTGATCATGTCACTACAGAATTTGGTCTATCTAGTGACAAAACCCTGGTGCCAAAATAGGAAATGCTACCTAATATCATTATCTGTGGCAGCGCTCTCGACAACTTGGGTGACATTCTGGCCTGAAATTCGGCGATGCTTTTCCAGGACGATTTGTAGTGTCACAGAAAATGTTTGGTGTCACAGAAAATGTTAGACGGGTTAAAAATGGATAACAAAATGACTTGCTGGTGTTCAGAACATAGTACCTTATAAATTCGACCATGGCAGAGTTTATAACATATTAGAATCAAATTTTTAGGGTTTAGGGTTGAGATGCTCATATCGAAATCCATTGATTATTTTTTAGTGTGTGCTCTCGGTACTACAAAAGGTCATAATTTCTTAATACTACTTAATAGAGCATACATGTTCGTCATCATCACATCAGTACCAACAGTAGCATAAAACATGACATACAGAGATGGATGATCATCGTGGCAACACGATAGAGAGTCAGAACTACTTCTCATCTGGTTCAGCAGCAATGAAACCGAGGAAGAGAAAGGTCCTTGCACGTCCATGGTGTAGCACGAAGATCATCATGTCTCCCATATCCATGTCGTACACGTCGACTACTTTTCTCCACTCATTAAGAACGATGCTTCCCCCTCCTTGTCTTGAAGCCGAGTATGAAGTCAAACTGATGTTCACTCTAGGATGGAGAACAATGGTCAACTCTCCATTTGCACCCATCTCCCTAGGCACAACATGTTGTGGAAGTATCTAGTGGCATAATACATGTTAAACACTTCAAGCAATCTACATAAGTACCTGGACTATCTGAAGATAATGAGAGTAGATACAATTCTAACCATGAGTTTTTCGTGAATGTTGGCCTTGTTCAAAGTGTGTAGCAGGGGCACATATGAATGATATCTTGGTCCAACAATGTAACCATCTGCGAGCATCCAAATTTGATCAACAAAGCCGATGAGAAACCACATCTCTTCCAAGCTACTATGCTCCCTTCAGTAACCTCCATGTTGTCTATAAAATATTTTGTTACGATATCCACTCTGTAATAAGTTATGAAAATATTTGTAAATAAGATTTGTTAAATACAATAGCCGGATGAAATGTTGTTTGATTTGCCAGAATACTTACACTGGTGAGTTATTGTATCTGTACTCGAACATACCCGGAGGTGACGTTTAGGTTTTCCACCTAGTTCGAGGGACATTTCCATACCTACTTCCAACTGGTACACTTTGGAAAATTCTTTCCAAGTACGTCCTGTGAAAAAGGTCCTATCTTCTTTGTTCCTGATCCTGCATAGAAAACAGAAGCCCTCTCTTATCTCTAGGTGGACATGTACAGTCACTACTGCAGGATGCAGCTAACGCGACACTACGATTAGAGACCCTTTCACGAAATTGTGTGCAATGCATTAATCACAAACAGGGATGTAAAAACCCCGTCAAAAAAGGTGCAAAACATTTGCAATGGAGGATACATCAAACACAGTTCAGATTTTAGTTACGTGTGCGATCCAGGGCATACGGTGCAGTCCAATGAACCATTTGCGATGAGGCAGAACAAAAGAAATGGGCAGCCTGATGAAGGCGTCTGCGATGTACAGCATACCGTTCACTTGGATGAACTATTTGTGATTAGGCAACACAAAAGAAACGGTAAGCCAGATCCAGGTGTGTGCGATGTACAGCATACAGTTCACTCGGATGAACCGTTTGTGATGAGGCGGAACAAAAGAAACAGGCAGCTTGATGAAGGCGTGTGTGATGTACAGCATACAGTTCACTCGGATGAACTGTTTGTGATTAGGCAACACAAAAGAAACGGCCAGTCAGATCAAGGTGTGTGCGATGTACAACATGTGGTTCACCCGGATGAACAATTTGCGTTGAGACAAGAGAACAGAATGGTTCAATATAACAAATATCATAAATATTGCAAGGCTCAAGTTCAAAGATTACAACGCCCAAATTCAAACATTGCAAGATGCGTCATTTCTGAAAAGGGATCAGCCGCTGACAAGTCATGTATGGGTTTGACACAATAACTTCCAATTGCTTTGCCATATGCTCTTCCAATACGAAGTTTGGCATTTTTGGAGGCACTTCCATTCCATAGTACCAGCCGCCTCTGATAATCATACCATTGATGTTTCCTAATTAAATGCGTGTTCAAGCTCAGTACCGTCAACACCTTTGCTCTAGCAAGAAAGAACATGGCGAGTGTAATCTCTGGTGGGGTCCCTCGGTAGGAGTTCAAAGTAATATTTGAGAGATGCAGATCCAGACATTCGATGTGATTCTCGTTATCAACATCTTCCACCGGGCCTAATATGCACTGCAAAAGAAGTGAACGTGTTAGTGTCTACATGCAATTTTGAATAGTGCTACACGCCCATTTGGTTTGCGGGATTTGTAAAATGCACCAACGTGCCATCTTCGATCTGTCATGATTAACATGGGCATTAATTTGATTACAATCTAGAAACATGTAGCGTTGTTCAAAAGAGGTTGGATTGGATGAATAATTCGCTAAGAAAACTAGTACAGATGAATCCAAAGGAGAAATTCTTATGGATGATTGTAACCATATGAATGAAGCAACCAATATGGGGTGGGGGTGTATGTCCTAAAATCCTCCAAAATTCCTTCAGAAATCGTAGTACATAGTCATTGTAAGCTTGGGAAAAGGTGCAAAAAATTGAACTCCCTTATGGTTAACATTTAACAGGAAAGGAACATCACCTCGATATACAACTTCTTCAGGCATGGAAAGCATCTCACGCAACTGAAATCTTGGTCCAGGTTGGGGACGACAGATTCTAGTGCCAAGAACTTCACTGTGCCCAGAGTCTAGGTGAAGCTTCGCTGGATGACAGATGAACATACATCTTCAAAACTAGTTATAATGTTGATATCAAGAAGGAGAGGTATATAAGGCGACTGTTGTACCTAAAAGTTGTAGTATTCGACAGACGAATAGCCCACCACTTTCAATATCGGCGCAGAAATGACATTGATTCTTGTTGGACCATGTTGATCAACTACACGTAATCTCTCAAGTGAAGGTGTGTCCTGGA